ATAATAGCAAATACTAATATAGCATTTACTATTGGTCAGACACTGTTCTTAGTGCTTATATACGTTCATCATTTAATTATTGTGACGGCCCTTTAAAGTAGGAGCTATTGTCATCCCCATTTTATAGAAGAGTAAAGTTAGGCACAAAGAGGTTAAGTGACACGCCCAGGGTCACATAGCTAGTAAGTGACGGTGCTCGGGTTCTAACCTTGTCTAACGTCTAGTCTCCACTGCCTCTTACAAATACAGACGGCAGAACGAAGTGAGCGCTGTTATGCAGCATCTACTAGATGGCGTGAAGAAGGAATGTATAAAAGAGATAGCTGTTTGTTATTTACAAAATAAAATTAAAACACAAAGATGTTAAATAGCAAAGAAAGCCCCAGATCCCTGCTGGTATCACTTACCCTCCTATCTGACCACTCCATTAGGACATTTCTTCTCTCAGCCACTTTAATTTCTCACACTACGAAATAAGAAGCCTCTTTGCTTCTGTTCTCCAGAGAGACAAAGAAGTTGGAAGAAATAGATTTCCACCCTACCATTGTGGAAAAGAGAAGAGAGCATCAGATTTCTTTGACAGAGGTGGAGGCAGGCTTCTGTCTCCCCTACGCACACCGAGGCAGTGGGTGAGGTGGGAGCGGGTAGGCTGCTGCTTCTTCAGGATTACGTAATGATGAAACAACGACCAGCTTTGTCTTGCTGAGTAGCTGCTGGAAAGGTAGGTCAGGGCCTCCTTTGAGGGTCACTGGAGTTGACTGATAGGGCTGCTATCTTCTGTCCCCTGTGAAATTACCGAAATGTAGCTTTTGGCTTAAGGGCGATAGTTGGAAGGAGGGACCAATGACTCGAACCAGTGTTGCTTTCTGAATGATTGTTATCAGGTCCACTCTGACCACCCTCCCAACCTTTAGCAAGTGCCTGCTATATCTATATGTAGGGCTTATACAGGTGCCAAGTGTTGAGGATGCATAAAAGAGTCAGAGCTAGTTCAGCCTTCCAGTTCCCACAGCCATAGCTTTCACATTCTTTTGATTGTGAAGTATAATAAGAAAAACATTTAAATTGTATGTATGTGCAACTGGGTTGTGCTGTTTTACCTTGCTATATGCAATAAACTCTGATGTAGATTGTTCTATTCTTTTTTATTTAATAAAAAATGCAGATTACAATCCATTGAGTTGATATCTTGATCCATAAATGTGCAATGCATCAAGCTGTGCAGTTAGAAAAACACTAATTTGAAGAAAAACAGTCCGGAGAAAGATACCTAATGTGTACAATTACAAAATGATGTAAAAGTGCAGCCACAGAAGCATGTATGGAAAGTACAGAGCCCTGAAGGAGAAACATGGGGCCTGGACAACCTTTTCCTATGCTCTTTCGATTACCCGCCGCGAGGGCACACACAGCACATCCTGTGGGAATAACTGCCAGCTCTATTCCCAGCGCAACTCCCATAGGCTTCTCCATCTACCCTCATCCTCATCCAGACACTGTCTCTGGGTGGCCCTGAGGCAGTCACGATTGTCTGTGAAACTGTCTATGAGTATAGAGATGGAGCAGGGACAGACTAGCAGCTCAGCCTCCTTTCCAGCTCTAGAACTCTCCCATTCATGTAACAGTACCCTAAGCATGGGAGGAGTCCACGTGGACTTTATTTCATCAGGCTCTGACTTTTTGTTTCTTTCTAGCTCAGCACTGGTGGGTCTTGAGTGAGAACAGAGTGGGGGGTAGGGGGAGAGGGAGCAGATTCCAGAGAATTCCACTATTGCAAAGAGCAGGCCAACAGTGGCAGGAAAGAAATGAGGGATAACTGCTGGCTGTTGATACTGAATGAAGGCACAATGTGTAGAGGCAATTCAACTGTAGTGCACTAATTATTCTCCCAGGGCCATGGCCCAGAAAAGCAGATGACCCCTGAGAGATCTCATTCACACTGGCTGTCTCAATGACCAGCCTATCATAGATTTTATCCATGAGCTACATAGATCAGCCTATCATAGATTTTATCCATGAGCTACAGAAAGGGAAAGCATTCGTGCTAATGAGGAATCATGAAGAAAACCAGAACTAATCACATATGACTATATGTATTGTAACTTCCAAGAAAATGCTTGGCAGCATCTTGGAGCCAAGAAATGTGGTTAAGAGTGTGGGCTTTGGAATAAAAGTGACTTGGGGACAAATCCTGGTGTCACCATTTCCTGTGTGCTCTTTGGAAAACACCTAAGAATAGACGAGAATAAGACCCAATCCCAGACTTCTGGAAGTTCATATTTACTGCTTAACCTTTCTGGGCCTCTGTTTCCTCATTGGTAAAACAGGGATAATGATAAGACCTACCTCCTAAGATTGTCATGAGGATTAGTATGAGGATAGATAGAACAGCTTGGCTGGCCCCGATCACAGGTTATCTGTATGTTTAACTTTGGATAGTGAGAAGCAATGGAAAACAGGACAGGGGAGGTTGGTAAAATATCACAACCTTGTTAGACTCCATCTTCACCCTGCATCCTCCTCTCTCCAAGGGCCTTAAAGCAGAATGGAAGATTCCCTCTGTTCCATCTCAAAGAAGTAGCACTTTGGGAAATTACAGTTAGCTCCTCAAAGCCCTACTTGTTCTTCCTCTTTACGTTTATCCCACTTTTGTTCAAACTCTGAACACATGGGCCAGAGGGAGCTTTTTTTGCCTGGCTTTAAGGAATGGTAAGAAGAGCTAGCCACCGAGGTTCATTTAGAAACAAAACAAAATGACTCTCCCTTGGGGTGCTGGGTGGGGAGGGCTCTGTTGCCAGCCCACTGAGACTCTCCGCACCCCCTGGAGACAGATGAGATGCTTGGTCAACTGAGAGCAGAGGCCCCCCAGCTGAAGGCCCAGGAATGGATCTGACAGCTGCCAGGAGAACACAATTACTTTTTCTTAAATCGATTCCTCGGAAACTGTCCTTTGAGATCAGTCTCAAACTGTTGGAGCATTTTTCTATGAGCCCTAACTCTGGGGGTTTGTTTGTTTGTTTTGTTTTATTGGTAGCTGGCTGGTATAGGGATCCGAACCCTTGGTGTTGTCAGCACCATGCTCTAGCCAACTGAGCTAACCAGCTAGCTCTGGGGTTTGAATGGAGAGAAACCCAGCAGCACGGTGCTAGCCCAGGATGGCTCCAAACTTCTTCCTAGGCAAAGCTTGCTTTAAAGAGTGGAGCTTCTGATTGCAGGAAGAGGTGGAGAAAACACTCTGCAGAGTTTAAAAGGGTGATTTAAAAATGTGACATATTCCCGTTTCATGAAAAAGTGACAGACAATGTTAAGTGGATAGTCCTCCTACAATCTGCCTATATTCTGTAATATATTCTATATTCTCTTCTGGAAGAACATGCAGAGTCCATCAGCATATTAAAGGCTCTGTGATGTTGGACTATAAAGAAGCAATATTTCCCAAACATATTTGATCACGGAACCCTTGTGCTGAGAAACAGTTCTTTCTGTGGAACATCGCTGGACAAAGGGCAGAGTCAGGGCCTCCTCTCATCCACACTGCACCTCTCAGAGCACATGCAGGGTGGGGTCGAGCCTTCATTTGCACTCTCAGCCAGACCCCCTTGTGCAGGGCCTGGCTGCATGACAATTGCAGCAGTCCCTCTGGAAAGGACACAGGCAATTGGGCGATCCTGGGGCATTACTGACCAGGACCTAAAAGTCCACAGTTGTTATTTTATTCTCTTTTCAGGGGTAAGTCCAAGCTTGTGACTGAAGGAAGACAGTGCTCATGTAGAGAAGATTGGACACTATGTCTAACCTGGAAATATCTGCACAAACAAGCCACCATGAAGGGCTACTCAGGACAGGAGCCACTGGACAACTCTGAGCTCACTTACATTCAACTCAGGAGTACCTGAACACTTTTAAGAAGCTGATCTGCATTGCTTTATTAAGGAAAAAAAAAAAAAAGAAGAAGAAAAATGCCCCAGCCAGGCGTTGCAACGAAATTGATGATAATTGGGAACAGCAGGAAGGAGACCTGCANCAGGAGTACCTGAACACTTTTAAGAAGCTGATCTGCATTGCTTTATTAAGGAAAAAAAAAAAGAAGAAGAAGAAAAATGCCCCAGCCAGGCGTTGCAACGAAATTGATGATAATTGGGAACAGCAGGAAGGAGACCTGCGTTTCTGCTTCAGCTGGTTACTGCTTGGTTTAAAGTCTGATTGTCTGGCGTCCATCTTCTGGCTTTTGGAGTGGACCAGTTTTTGCTGAAATATGCATTTATTGAACTCTGAAAGGCCAGATCTTCTATGTAGATTAATTCATGATTTCAAAGATGCTTTGAAGCTGGCAAAACATTCTGTTATTTACAAGAGTTATTACAACTGAAATCCTGGCATAGACTGGGAGGTCAGTTTATAATCTTGTTTAGATCCTTTTAAATTTAGAAACTTTGCAGTGGGTTAAATATAGATCACATTTGTGTACTTTTTCCTCCTTTCATTCCCACTTCAAGGGCTGTCCAGTAGTTCTGACCTATGCCAGACATTAGCCAGAGAAATTCTGGCACTTGTTACATGGGCATCTGCTGGACCAAAACAAAAGTGATGCTACTCACAGGACCGTGCGGAGTTGCTCATCATCCTACATATTATCTTCCACATTTAAGAGCAAAGGTCTTTCACTAAGACTGGTGAATAGTTTCATGTTAAGTGAAAACATAGACACGAGGAGAAAAGGTTTTGGTAATGCTATCTGGGAGAGCGTATGTTCTCCAACTTATACTGCACATGTTGATTAGAGAAGATCATAGAGCTCAGGTCATAAGAAGCTGTACGAGGCTGGAAGTCAGACTGCTTATAACCAAAAGGTAAATGAATATTGCCCCAGATTTTAGAAGAGCCAAAATATTGAATGTTATCTGCGTAGTACTGGCCAGAGTAAATGAGGTGCCAGCATTTTCATGCCCAGTAAAGAGAATGTTATTACACTCAGGATTACCTCTTCATGGGTACTTTACCTTCATGAACATGCTAAATCCAGTTTTAAGGAGATCAGCAAGGCCTGAAGACATGTGTTCAATATCAACAGGATCTGGCCTCTCGGGATTAAATATTTCCTCCACAATCTGCTTCAACAATGGTTTATAAGATGCCTGGAAAGACAAAATATTGTGCTGTAAGTAAAAGGATTTGTTTGGTTTGTCTGGAGAGAGAACAGCTTTTTCTGTATTAAAAGAAGCAAAACAAGTTTATTTTGATACTGAGCAATAGCTGTGATGTGTGTGTGTGTGTGTGTGTGTGAAAACACAATATAACAACACTGGTTTTTTAGATAAACTTTCACCCCAAGGCTCTAGCACTATTTTCTGCTTCTCAAACCTCCTTCTACAAGCAAATATCTCTTACCAGAGCTATAATCATTGTATGACTAATTTTTCTATCTAGATTTCAAGTGACAATTTTAGGTATGAAGTACACTGGAAAGCAAAATACTATCATTGATACAGACATGAAGATAGTCTCCAGCTTTTCCTAAGCATTCTTAAAATTATGTTCCCCCTGTTAGGACCTCAAATGTTTACTTACAATGTGCTGTCAATATCCACGCCTAAAGCAATCCCTCCTTCCCCAGCAGAGCTCAACTCCAAGTATGAGTTTCCCAGAAAAAGAAGCTAAGATAACCAAAAAGAATCTGACCGAGGTCAGAGCAGAAAAGAGGCTGCACGACACTATAGGAATTTCAGCAGAATTAGGGCGATGTTAGTTTGCAACAAGTCCTACAGTTTGATGAATGGTGCTAAATGCTTTCCTTTTCTGTGACCTGAATAAGCCATCCACGTTTCGGTTGTGTTTGGAGGCAGCTGCCTCTCTGACCACTGTGTTGTCTGAGCTTGTTTCTCCCATCTCTTCCCCTGGTTCTTCTGCTACCAATTCTTCCTTTGTCTTCCTTTCCCATTAGCAGGTCCACCTTCTTTCCTCCCAATCCTGTTGCTGCCTCTGCTGCTCCAGTCACACATTGCACTGAGTCTGCGGCATGAAGGGCAAGAGAAGAAGGAATGTCTCCCCTCAACCCATCCCCTGATCTATTATAGCCTTGGAAAAGCCAGATTCTGATAATGCACTGTTGAGCTGTATCCTCTCTTGAACTCCATTTCTCTCTGTCTTGGCCAAATATGTGACTTGCCTGTAGCAATTGTCAAGGATATTTAGTGTACTGACTTCATTCCTGGCTTCATATTGCTTTTCTTACAGTCATTTTTTACTATTATTTTTCCTTGATTCCAATTTTCTTATTTACAATATCATAGAAATAAAGCAGGGTACAAACCATCAAACTCGTAAATACACATTCAGCAGGAATCTAGCTGGGATCCTTCTCAGGGATAAGATGCAGAGAGAACTAGCATCTGTTCAGTCAGTTGAGGATTCCACCCCTTTTATGTTTACTGGTCATACAGACCAGTGTGTGTCCAGAGATCCCATGCTTAAATGATCAGGAAGGGCAAAGCATTGAATAGCAACACTAATAAGATGGGAATTTTTCAAAGTATGGATTAACCTTGCTCATAATAAGAGAAATTCAAATTAAAGCTATACCAGGAGAGATTTTGTTTTAACTTATCAGACTGGTAAAAATCCAAAAGTTTGAAAACACACTCTTTTGATGAGGCCACGGAGGAACAGGCACTCTCCTACATTGCTGGTGGGAAGGTAAATTGTTACAATCAATGCAGAGAGCAATCTGGCAATACCTATCAAAATTACAAGTGCATTTGACCTGGCAGTTCTACTTCTAGGAATTTATTCCTTGGATATGCTCATGTATGCAAATGAGATCCATAAAAAGCTCTTTATTGTTTATAATAACAAAATATTAGAAACCACCTAAGTGCCTATTGATTGGGAGCTGTATTCTACAAATACTCTTCCCTGAGTAAATTGTCTTGAGAGTTCTTCTTTCATCTTAGCCTTTCTGGACATTTACTCTCTTAAACTTTAATCTCTTTAAAGCATATCCCCAAGGAGATGTCCTTTGGTCAATACTTTGCTACCTTATCCGTATTATCATCAAATATTAATTGACTTCTTCCTTAGTAACAGACTCAAGTTTTCAGCCAGGCACATTATCAACTGGCTAAAAAGGCTTGCACCCTTCCTTGCAGCTGGGTGTGGCCATGTAAATAAATTCTGGGCAATGAAATGTAAGTAGAAGGGTAATGTGGAACTTTCAGACGTCTCCTTAAAATGGAAAGAAATGCTTTTTCTCCTCATTTTCTCTTCTGCTACCTGGAATGTGGAAGTGATGCCTGGAGCTCCAGCAGCCATATTGGAAAACAGGGCCATTTCTTTTCTCTTTCTTTCTTTTTTCTTCAAATGTGAAAGGATTTATGGGGGAAATACTTGTGAGAGAAACTGGGGAGGAAGACAGAAAAGGCTGGACAAGCCATCAGACTGTGTTCAAGTTTGAACTCCAGTGACAGATAGAGGGAAGGAAGGTTGGCTGGAATCACCCTAGATACAGTGCCATCTTCAGAAAGTTCAGTAAAGGTGTCAAGGAGCCCTGGAACCCAAATCAGCCTTCAGAAGAAGTATGGTCTTCCCTTAGTTTCTCTGATGTTCTCAATCATTGGCTGGAAGAAGCTTGTGGGAAGCATGGTCTCAGGGCAAACATGACAATAGGTTTCAGGCTGGAACAGCTTGGTCCATCGGTCAGTTTTGCTTCCTCCAGCTGAGAGTCTGGGATGTGCATTATCATGACTGCCATAGTGATAATAACCACCCATGCGGTAGGAGGCCCATCACACGGTGCAGCTGCAAATTCCTCAGTAGATGGTGGTGGAACTCTGTAAAGGTTTTCTTTTAATGTGTTCAGTTTTCTCAGTGAAGTAGGAAGCAGGGGCATCTGCCTTGGCAACGTCTCCTCTGCCTTCCTCCTCTGCTGCATCTCTGGCCAGGGCATTTCTTAGAGACGGTGGAGTAGAGAGCTGAAGAAATCCTGGACAGTGATGACTTTTGGAACCTCCGTAACCGTAACATGAACAGGCTAAATAAGGACCTACTTTACATGACAATATAGAACCTTCTATGTTTAAACAACTATTTTCAGATCTCTGTTATTTGCAACTGAATAAAATTTTGATACAAAGCATTTAGGGAATATAAAGATATGAAAGTCTATTCCTTCCTTCCAAGAGATTACAGTTATTGATTTTATTAGCCTATATTAAAGGCTGGTTATATGAAATAACTTTAACCAAAATCACAGAGAAATATACACAGTCCATCATATTTAAGAGAGAAGAAAATATACCCTTCAACCCACAAAAAATAGAAAAGTGTGTTGCTCTCCATAGGATGTACCTTCTACAAGAAGGGAGAGTAGTGATTCTGAAAAGAGCTCAGACACAGGACAAGGTGGCTCTATAATCAAGCTAAAACACTGTACTCTGCACCTCTCTAGTGCAAGGCACAGTGTACCCAGGGTGATAGGACTGTTCTCAGGACTCCAGAGGCACCACTGTAGACTGGGGAAAAAGGGGAAAGAAGGAGGTATGAAGGGATTTGAGAAAATAGAGATGCTGGGATATCTCTCTCCCTTGCTCTACTTTTGGTTAAGCTTTGAGGAAAGAAGCATCCAGAAGAAAATGCCCACTGAGCTGCGTTCTCTTTGAGGGGTGCTATGCCCTTAATGCGTTCATTCTTGGGACTTTGTGATTACTGTGTGTTATTGGGAAAATTGGAAATATTTTTATGTTTTTAAAGGTATGTAGGTGAACATTTATTTAGAATGAGAAAAGAAAACTCAATTTAAAATACTGAGAAGCAACAGATAGCAAACACATCACATAATTCAGAAAAAGAATATAAATGTTTTTAACTGCCTGACCTCTATAATAATCATTTCTAACATTTTTTGTTGCATTCTCTCTGATTATTTTTCCATGTAATAACAATTTTAAAACAACATTTTGTATGGAGATGTGAGTTATTAGGCTATCATCTCTCAATTCCAACCCCCTCCCTTCTAGACGTGGTTCTGTGATGCTGGGCTGAGACTCTACAAGCCACACGTGTGCTTTGCCAGCTAGGTCTGCTAGACTCTGCCAACAGGGGGCACTGCAGGGAGACTGGAAGGTGGGAGAGCAAGTAGGAACTTGTAGCTGCCCCTCCACTGGACTTTTAAGTCATAGGACCCAATAAATTACCTTTCTTGTTTAAACCATTTGGCATTTTTTTCTTTTTCTATTTTTACTTGTAACCAAAAGCATAGTAAATGATATAAGTATTATTAATTTAAAGAGAAGCTGATAGGTTTTCCCACTTAAATGTTATGGAGGAAAAAGCCCTCTAAATTCTCTGTTAAGACAAGTAAGTACAGCACAAGTGAATAACATTGTGCATTTAAAGAGCACGATTTGGGACTTTCTCAGATAAAAAGCAGTACTTGGGGCCGAGCCCGTGGCGCCCTGGGGAGAGTGCGGCGCTGGGAGCGCAGCAGCGCTCCCGCCATGGGTTCGGATCCTATATAGGGATGACCGGTGCGCTCACAGCGCTCACTGGCTGAGCGCGGTGCGGCCGGTCTCAAAAAGGACAAAAAAAAAAAAAAACTTGTTTTATGCCTTCTTAGTCAATACATTTTTAATTTTTCCAATTAGGATTTTAATGATGAAAACCTTTGGCTCCTTCCTCTCAGCCATTTAGTTTGGATTGTTTTGTGTCGCAAATCATGTCACTGAAATCTGATTGGAATGAACTGCTTTGGCAGTGGCTTCTTAGATGAGAACTCTCTGACCATCATGCATTTTTCTGTTCAGCCAGGAGCTACCCACTTATCAGCAAAGGACCACGCAGAAGGTGGTGATAGGAGAGACAGACGTTGCTCCTCTAGTACGCTACTCAAAGTGTTTCTCACATGTTAGAAAGGGCCAGAGGGGAGATTAGTCCTGTAGTTTGCCTCAATATTAAGAAGATAAACCACGGTAATTTAATTTTCCTAATCAAACACTCTGCCAGTTCACCTTTTTCAGACATATTCATTCTTTCCTTTTCTTGCTGGTTATTTATCTCTTGCTTATATCATATTCTGTATGGGTTGGCAGTAGGTAGTCTATGCCCTATGCAGTCATGGAAGAGACCCGGGTTTCTCCTATTG